GCATCTCATTTCTCTTTTCATCACTTGTAGGACACTGACTTGAGCTTAGTTTGAAGTGGCCTGCAAGTGGACAATTAACAGGCTTTGCTTTGTCCATATTGAACCTCTCAAGAACCTTTTTAATATAATTCTCTTGAGATAACCAAATCAGCCCATGTGATCTGTCACGAACAATTCTCATCCCAAGAATTTGCTTTGCTGGACCCAAATCCTTCATGGCAAAGGACTTACTCAACTCTGACTTCAACTTGCTAATCTTACTCGTGTCTTGGCCCACAATAAGCATATCATCAACGTAAAGCAAGAGAATAATAAAATTACCATCTTTATATTTCTTCACAAACACACAATGGTCTGAAGTGGTTCTTGAATACCCATTCTCACTCATGAAAGCATCGAATTTTCTGTACCACTGCCTCGGTGCTTGCTTCAATCCATACAAGCTCTTCTTCAATTTGCAAACTAACTGATCATTACCCTTATCTTTGAAGCCCTCAGGTTGCTCCATATAAATTTCCTCTTCTAAGTCACCATGCAAAAATGCGGTCTTCACATCAAGCTGCTCAACTTCTAAATTCATACTCGCAGCTATACCAAGCACAGTTCGAATGGAGGACATCTTCACAACTGGTGAGAAGATCTCATCAAAATCAACTCCCTTTCTCTGATCAAAACCTTTCACGACAAGTCGTGCCTTGAATCTCGGTTGAGAACTGTTCCCATCATTCTTTCGTCTGAAGACCCATTTATTTTTCAAAATTTTCTTCCCTTTAGGCGGCTTCACCAAATCATAGGTGTGATTCTCATGCAAAGACTTCATTTCCTCTTTCATTGCCTTGAACCATTCAGTTTTGTTCTCATGCTTCAAGACTTCTTGATAAGTCCCTGGCTCCCCCTGATCTGATATCATCACATACTCATTTGAAGAATATTTTCTGGATGGCTGTTTTTCTCTAGTAGATCTCCTTAACGGTGTCTGTGGTAGTGGCTCTTGGGGTGGTTGCTCCCCCTCAATCTCTGGCTCAACATCATCTTCTGCTGCATCATCATGAGGTGTTTGCACTTCCTCATCAATATCATGAACAGCAGAGGGATTGAGAGGATCTAAATCAACAAGATCATCAGTACTAGACTCAGCTGACTCAAGCTTGTCGATGTCTTCAATAGTCTGATCTTCCAAGAAAACAACATCTCGGCTTCTGACAACTTTCTTGTCAACTGTATCATACAACCTGTATCCAAATTCTTCATGCCCATAGCCAAGAAATATGCATTGCTTTGCTTTTGGATCAAGCTTGGACCTTTCATCTTTTGGAATATGAACAAAAGCTCTGCAGCCGAATACCCTCAAGTGATCATAGGAGACTTCCTTCCCTGTCCAAACTTTCTCTGGCACATCACCATTCAACGGAACTGAAGGAGACAAATTGATAAGATCAACTGCGGTCCTCATTGCCTCACCCCAAAAGGATCTTGGCAATTTAGAATGTGAGAGCAAACATCTGACTCTCTCAAGAATGGTGCGATTCATTCTCTCTGCAACCCCGTTCTGTTGAGGTGTCTTTTTAACTGTCTTTTCATGCCTGATACCATGATTTGTGCAATACTGATCAAATGGTCCAATATATTCACCACCATTATCCGAGCGAACACATTTCAACTGTCTACCTGTTTCTCTTTCAACCTTGGCCTGAAAAATCTTAAACACATCTAGAACTTGATCTTTAGTTTTCAGTGTATAAGCCCAAACTTTTCTAGAGTGATCATCAATAAAAGTGACAAAGTATAGAGCACCACCAAGTGTCCTAACTTTCAAAGGACCACATACATCAGAATGTACCAAATCTAAAACATGAGATTTTCTAGATGCAATGTTTCTACGGAATGATATTCTGTTTTGTTTACCATGGAAACAATGAACACAAGTTTTCAAAGGCGTACCTTTTATCCCCACTAGAAGCTCTTTCTTGGACAAAACTTGCAATCCTTTTTCACTCATATGTCCAAGCCTTCTATGCCATAAATCAGTGGATGAGTCATTCTCTAAGGTATTCACAACACCCTTGCAGATTTTTGCTTGCATAGTGTAAAGAGAACAAGTCTTCTTTCCTTTTGCTACCACTAGAGAACCTTTGGAGAGCTTCCATTTTCCATTACTGAAATTGTTGATGTAGCCTTCATCATCTAACTTTCCAGCAGAGATTAAATTGAGTCGAATATCTGGTACATGCCTCACATCTCTAAGCAGCAATTTGCATCCAATATTTGTTTCCAAGCAAATGTCACCCATGCCGACAATTTTTGACACATCTTCATTTCCCATACGGACATTCCCAAAATCACCTTGTGAGTAAGAAGTAAAGAAATCAGCCCGCGAAGTAACATGAAATGAAGCTCCAGAATCAATTACCCAATCCGTCTCTTGGCCAATCAAATTAACGCTAGCATCATCACGGATAATCATGAGTTCATCATCGGTAACTACAGCTGTATCAATTTGCTTTTTCTCTGAATTTTTCTCTTTGTTCTGCTCCTTGAACTTGAGTTTTCTACATTCCCGCTTCATGTGCCCTTTCTTGTGACAATAATAGCATTCAACATCCTTTTTTGACATCGAGCTTGAACGACCTCTAGATTTATCACGGTTGTGCGGAACCCTACTCTTACTCCTGCCTCTCCCCCGGTTTTCCATTACAAGTGCCTCGGAGTAAGAAGAACCTGATGATTTTCTTCTTGTTTCTTCATTCAACAAACTGCTGGTAACTTGACTCATTGTTACCACTCCATCAGGTGCGGAGTTACTAACTGTGACCACCAAAGTTTCCCAGCTTTCGGGAAGTGAACTAAGAAGTAACAAAGCTTGCAACTCATCATCAAAAGTAATTTTCATGGCGGCCAACTGATTCACAATGCTCTTAATCTCATTCAAATGCTCTGCAATAGAAGTACCCTCCTTATATTTAGAGTTCACAAGCTTTCGAAATAAAAAGGCTTTATTCACTGCCGTCTTTCTATCATACAAACTCTCCAATTTGGTCCAAAGACCATGTGCAGATTTTTCTGTAGAGACATGATGAAAGACACTATCATCAATCCATTGCCGAATAAAACCGACAGCTTTCCGGTCTAGCTTTTTCCACTCGTCATCTTTCATCCCTTCCGGTTTGCCACTATCACCCTCTATGGGTCCATTCAAATCTTTACAAAATAAAAGATCTTCCATTTTAGTTTTCCAAGTCACCCAATTTGTGCCATTGAAACTAACCATACGTCCAACGTTGCCGTCCATAATTCACACACAGAAATATAACGAATCGGAACCGAATTAACCAATTGCTCTGATACCAGATGTTGGGAAAATAGGCTTTCCCACAAGTGTAAATCAATGGAAGCAATATAAATAAAATAACAGAAAATAAATAAGCACACAAGATTTACGTGGTTCCCTCAAATAACTTGAGGTACATCCACGACGACCGGTAGGTCAGTTTCTTCCACTATCACCAAATCAGATTACAAAGTGGCCAAAAGGCATAAGCCTTACAAACACACCAAGGTGTAAATCACAAGAGGAAAATACCTCACAAAATAAGTGAACCAAATCTCCAAGAACAAACCGCAAGAAACCCAAATATCAAGTGAAGAAATGTTACCCACTTGAAGAACAAATTTGCAGATTTTTCTGGCACCAAAAAGGAGAAGAAGAAGGCTGAATTTTTGTTGAACCAAAGACTGCCGAAAATATGTCTTCTTGCCAAACCAACAGAGAGGAGATGAACCAAAGAAAAGGAAAAAAACTTATAGTCTTTGGTGGCTACCAAATTCCTTTTAACTTGAAGACTCCAAACCAAGTCTTGGATAAGAGTCATACACGGGTAAGCCACCAAAAAATTAGCAAATTGATGAGTCCCACAAAGGAGGGAAACCCAACACTTTTTTTTGAGCAGACCATATACTTCACTGAATCCTGTCCCATTTAGCTATGATTCTATGATATGATCTGTAGGTGGATGTTGAGCCAACTATTACATGATCTGAGCTATGATTCTTTTGGTTTGTTTTGGTGATTCTAATTGTGACAGAAGGGTTACTATTTGTTTGGTCTTATTTTGTGAAAAATATTGTGTTTGTTTGAGTTGGTTTGTGTCTTTCCTAATCATAAATGGCTCTCACTTTTATGTCTGAGCTTTTCCCCAAACCCAGTCTCCCCAATTTCATGTGTCGATTTCAGGTTTGTTGTGGTCGACCTCTCAGCAGGGCCTTGCACATATGGAAAGATTGAAACTGAAGAGGGAAGCATCAGTTCTAGAACGCTTACCCGGTTACGGAATGTGATGTTTTCTAGAGGTATAGGTGCAGCTAGTGATCATTCTGCCCATAATATTTTTGTTGGACTGCTTGCTCCTCTGGTTGCAACCACAATTGAGCATGTTATAGCTCCAGATGTTAGGCAGTCTTGATAGGGATGTCCAATGCCGAACTGGGGTGGAGATTGTGAACAGAATTAATGTAAATGAAGATGCAAAAATACTACAGTATTGGTTCGTAAAATATGTATTTCATCTCAATTTTGGTTCCCATAGTGTTGATATTGTTAATTTAGTTCTTGAAGTGTTTGATTTGTACTTAATTTAGTTCTTGAAGTGTTTGATTTATGCTACTTGCGACTTGTTTCTTATTCAAATTAGGAAGGTTTTCTTCATGTGTTCAATCAAGCTCCATGAATTCATTGAATTAGAGCAGATTGATCATTGAGGTGGTTACAAGGTGGGGGAAGCTCTCTGTACTGGACTAGGGGCATTAAACAAGCCACTTCTATTTCATTTTCAAAAATGGAATGAAGTATGAATTCTCAATAGGTCTTATCTATTTGCAAATTGGATACAAAAAGTAAATGAACTTGTTGCAGAAATTACAAGGAACAATTGCCATTTGCTGATTTCCATCTCTACAGATGAGATCACACATCAAGGTGGTTCCAAGTGCATAACTTACTAATGCTAATTCGCATAACAAACAAGACCCAAGTCAGCAAAAAATTCATGCTGGATCAGAGCATTTGCCTTGCCAAAATTGTTAACCCGTGCCTTCACAATTGTCAAAGGATCCAATGAATGATGAGTGCCAATTGTGATGGTGTTCTTGCTGTTTACAAGGCAGTCTTAAATCAACTGAAAAATCCTGTGTCTTTCGCTCTATCACAGCATAAGCAACCAGCCTATTAGCAACTCTGTTTGCTTCACGAAAAACATGCACCAACTGGAAATTCAAGTTTTTCAACAAGGCTTTAATCTGTCTCAAATAATCCAAGCAAGACCAAGGACATGAACAAGCTCCCATCATCGTCTTTACCAGAAACATCGAATCACACTCAATCAAAAATTCAGAACAAGAAATATCATATTGCACAATAAGTTTCAAGCCATCACATAGAGCACAAAATTCAGCCATTGCACGGAATAATAAAAAAAGATTATGATCAATTAAAAGGCATATCAAATAACTTTGCGTTGAGAACATTGAGAAATATATCTTTCATTACACCATGATCTACTATTTAAATATTCAGTCACCTGTTCAGTAACACTACTACCAATAACATATTGCAAGTAATTATAACTACACATAAGAATCTCATATCAAAATTATTGGTGTAACAAACAAAATTTCAATAGTTAATGTAAACAATCTATTATTAAAAAAAAATCGACAAAGTTCTCTTTAAAAACATGATCTAATACACAATATCAACTTGTGTACAATTCATTCAATACAAAATTAAGGAAGAATCACTTATAATAAAAGTGAGAATCACCTTCTAAAATGAACACTAACCGTAAGTATGATATATTTTCTTTTTTACTCGCAAAGATTGTGCAAGTAAACCAATAATCATAACCATGAGAGTCGAAAATGAAAATCCTACTTGATAACCTACCTAAAAAATCCGGGCTAACAATTTTTTTCATTTGGGTCTGTTAGCATTTATTCCACTGGTTCCATTTATACCCCCAATCACATGAATTAATGCATATATAAATATTATAGAATTTAAAACGGCAAAGAATAAGAGCTCCCCAACAGAATTCTCATGATTTTGAGTCAAAAAAAGCACAAAAAAATTAATGACAAAGCTTCGCAACAACTTTCGATCAGAGATAAGATAAAAAAAAAAAGGAAAAAACAAAATCAGAGACAAAGAGGTGGATTTAGAAAGAGATAAAAAAAACCAGACACAATGAGGTAGATTGAGAAAGTACTGGTAATTAATTTCCCATGATCATCAATCCAAAACAAAGCCGGAAAAAAAAAAAAGAAATAAAAAGCAAGGATAATAAAGCTTTACAACAACATTTCAATTCAAAGATAGAAAAAATAGAGGAAAAAAATGAGAGAGAGAGATTTACAGAGTATTGGCAAGCTGAATAATAGCTTCGAGAGCTTTAAAAGAATCCTTGAATGACTTTCCCATGGCCACGATTTTCCGGGAAAATTAACTCCCATTCAACAGCAGAAAAATCCCATAAAAAATATTAAAAAACAGAATAAAATCTCCAAGTCGGTGGAAGTATGTGAAGGATTTAGAAACCAAAAGGGTAAAGGTGGTGCAGTTGTTTTAACACTCAAAGATCAGAGTATACTTGCAAATGGTGACATTAATGAAGGTAAACTATGCCTTTTCTTGACTTTCTTCTGATACTATTTTATTTTTATATTATTTTTCTCTCTTTATACTTTGTCATATTTGTTGGACCCAGATTTCCTAAGTTGACGTTACATTGTATATACCAGGTCAATCGTTGGTGTTCTGGATCGATTTAGGGCAAAAATTGAGAATGGAGAATGGAGAAATGGGTAATATGCTCACTGCTCAGTTGGTGGTGGAGGTTGTGGTCACTTGCTGGTGGAGGCTGTGCACGCGGGTGGAGGCTTTGCTCGCTAGTGGAGGTTGTGCTCGCTGGTGGAGCTGTGGTCAGTCTCTTTGTTGAAATCGCTAGTGGTCGGTGTGGCCGCTAGTGGTTCTTCTTGTGGATTAAGCTCTGACGGTCTTCCTCGTCGAAGACAAATGCTGTTGAATGGTTGGAGCTCGTCGGAGAAGAGTCTGGCTGAGAGTGGTTGAGGAGGAGGAGATCTAAGCGTCGTTGGAGGAGGAGCAGAGCTGAGTGGTTGAAATGAAGCTGAAAATTTTTAACTGTGAAATTTAAGTGGTTTGGATTAACGTTTAAATCGTCATTTTAAATGACTTTTTTAACTCTTTTATTTTTTTTAACTTCTGTTAGCGCCGTTTAAAAATTTTTGTTAGAAAACATCATTATATAAATGACGATTTTAAAAACACCATAACGTTATTAGGAAAAAAAAAATTTATCTTCAAATTTTATAACTTTAATGGTTACCTGTTAGATACCAATTGATAGACAAGATAAGACATTGAAATGGCATATTATATAGTATATCATGATTTCNCTATGCCTTTTCTTGACTTTCTTCTGATACTATTTTATTTTTATATTATTTTTCTCTCTTTATACTTTGTCATATTTGTTGGACCCAGATTTCCTAAGTTGACGTTACGTTGTATATACCAGGTCAATCGTTGGTGTTCTGGATCGATTTAGGGCAAAAATCGAGAATGGAGAATGGAGAAATGGATAATATGCTCACTGCTCAGTTGGTGGTGGAGGCTGTGGTCACTTGCTGGTGGAGGCTGTGCACGCGGGTGGAGGCTTTGCTCGCTAGTGGAGGTTGTGCTCGCTGGTGGAGCTGTGGTCAGTCTCTTTGTTGAAATCGCTAGTGGTCGGTGTGGCCGCTAGTGGTTCTTCTTGTGGATTAAGCTCTGACGGTCTTCCTCGTCGAAGACAAATGCTGTTGAATGGTTGGAGCTCGTCGGAGAAGAGTCTGGCTGAGAGTGGTTGAGGAGGAGGAGATCTAAGCGTCGTTGGAGGAGGAGCAGAGCTGAGTGGTTGAAATGAAGCTGAAAATTTTTAACTGTGAAATTTAAGTGGTTTGGATTAACGTTTAAATCGTCATTTTAAATGACTTTTTTAACTCTTTTATTTTTTTTAACTTCTGTTAGCGCCGTTTAAAAATTTTTGTTAGAAAACATCATTATATAAATGACGATTTTAAAAACACCATAACGTTATTAGGAAAAAAAAAATTTATCTTCAAATTTTATAACTTTAATGGTTACCTGTTAGATACCAATTGATAGACAAGATAAGACATTGAAATGGCATATTATATAGTATATCATGATTTCTAGTAATTTTGTTACCATAATGAAGAGAATATTTACAACTTCAGCGAAATATTTACTAAATTTGTGAGAATATTTATATCTTTAGTGATGTATTTATCAAATTTGTTGGAATATTTACAATTTTAGTGATATGTTTACTAAATTTGTAAGATTATTTACAACTTTAATGAATTTTTTACGACATTTATGAGAATATTTACAATTTAAGTGAATTTGTTTATCACATTTGTGTACATAATTATTATATTAAAGGTTTTGTTACTATAATAAAGGTAATAATTACGAGAGTTGTCAATTTTTTTACGAGAGTTGTAAATGTTTTTTACGAGAGTTGTATTTAATTTGCAAATAATTTACAAGTAATCGAAGAAGATATACCAGTTTTGTGGACAAAATTACTAGTAGGGAGCAGTATTTACTAATTTAATGGTATTTTTTACGATATTAATAGTCCATGATCGATCGATTATTAAATATGATCGATCGATCAATACACACATATGTGTTCTTAATTTATGAATATATTACAACTAATCCAAGAAGATATACAATTTTAATGGATCAATTATTACTTTTATGAGAATATTTATAACTTCAATAGATTCTTTTCGAGAATATTTACAATTTCAGTGGATTGTTTATTAAATTTGTGAGAATAATTACAACTGCAATAGATTGGTTACCAGATTTATGGCAATATTTACAACTTGAATAGTTTTTTTACGAATTTGCAATAATATGATCCGATGTTTATTTACTACAAAACCCCCCTTACAACACTTCAATTAATTTCTCTTAGAGGGCATTTAAGTAAATACATAATAATTGATCTATCATATTTATTTTCGATCGATCGCAATCCCACTTGCCCCTTCAACTTCTACATCTGTAACTCAATGATCGATCATTAAACATATTTGATCGATCAGATATCCCCAATATTTATGATGTGCAACAATTTGATCAATCAACTTAACTTTTGCGCTAATATAATCGAAATTGTAAATATTCTCATAAATGTTGTAAATAATTCATTGAAGTTATAAATAATCTCATAAATTTAGTAAACATACTACTGAGGTTATAATTATTCCCACAAATTTGGTAAATGTACCACTAAAGTTGTAAATATTCGCATAAATTTGATAAATATACCACTGAAATTATAAATATTTCTTTCATTATGGTAACAAAATTACTAGTAATCATAATGTATTATCTGACATGTCATTTCAATGTCTTATCATGTCTATCAACCGATATATAATAGGTAACTCATTGAAGTTGTAAATAATCCCATAAATTTAGTAAACATACCATTGATGTTGTAATTATTTTAACAAATTTGAAAATTTTGGTATGGTACCGAAAATTCTCTTGGATGTACTGTAGTCTACTCCTTCTACTCCTAGCTTCAATGACAATACCATGATTCCTCCGAGGAATTTTAATTTTTTATACGACACGTTAATACGGTACGAATCGAACACAAAATTAATAAATTAAATATAAAATTAAATGAGTTAATAAATTAAAACAGATCAACACATTTAAACACGAAAAAAAAATTTGGGTTCATGTCAAAAAAATGTCAACCTGATTAACCTGTATATTTTAAACAGGTTGACATGATTCGAACACGAACTCAACCTAACCTATTATAGACTCATTTAACCTATTTATGATAGTATAATGTGTCTATTATGTATGACTGATATGATCTTAAAATTATTACTTATTAGTTCTTATTTTTATTATGACAATTGACAGTATAGTTCTTAACATTATTATGNGATTCCTCCGAGGAATTTTAATTTTTTATACGACACGTTAATACGGTACGAATCGAACACAAAATTAATAAATTAAATATAAAATTAAATGAGTTAATAAATTAAAACATATCAACACATTTAAACACGAAAAAAAAATTTGGGTTCATGTCAAAAAAATGTCAACCTGATTAACCCGTATATTTTAAACAGGTTGACATGATTTGAACACGAATTCAACCTAACCTATTATAGACTCATTTAACCTATTTATGATAGTATAATTTGTCTATTATGTATGACTGATATGATCTTAAAATTATTACTTATTAGTTCTTATTTTTATTATGACAATTAACAGTATAGTTCTTAACATTATTAAGNTATGACTGATATGATCTTAAAATTATTACTTA